GAATAACTCATGTAGTACTTGGCATTTTATTTGATGACATGGAATGAACAGGGTGATTTATATGCACATGAAGAGGTCACTTTCTTAGATTGTGTGGTATAACTAAGAGAATGGAAGTCTTATTTCCCCATAATGTTGGGTGATGTACTGAGGACTGGAGTACTCTGTACAGCTCCGAGACCCTACGTAAGAGGGATCAGGCTCCCTGGTGTGTGTGCTTAGATGGTGGGAGTTTTCAAAAGCTGCTCCGATAGTTCGGAGAATCTGAGTTCTACAAGGAGAACAAGTTTGAGGGAGGAAAGAAGCATAATGACCCTTTCTTTTTTTACCCTCCCCCGAGCATGTGTTTTACTGATTTTAGAGAAAGAGGAAGTGGGAGGAGAGAGAGAGACATTGATGTGAGACAGAAACATCTATTGATTGCTTCTCATAAATACCCTAACTAGGGATCGAACCCATAACCTTTTGCTGTATGGGACAATGCTCCAACTGACTAAACCACCTGGCCAGGGCACAGTTCTTTACAAAGGGCTGCATTGTTTTGTTCTAGGGAGGTGGACATCTGCTCCTGACTAGTTGAATGGTGGTGTGAGGGGCTGCCTAGGAGCTGGTGGATTTCCTGACACTAAGGTTGTCACCCTACCAGTAGGGGAAACCCCTCAGAACACTATTAAACATTGGATAAGGCCATGAGCTTAGAAAATCTTTAAATTCCTTCTGGATTTAGGATTTAACAAATTGATTCTTTTTTTGTTTTTCAAGATTAATTACCATTTACTTGTAAGGCCATTGTTCGTAGCTTTCTATAGTCATGGATGTGAAGCACATGAAAGTTATGCTTCTCACACTGGGAAAATGCACCTCAGTGGGGAGTGAGCACAGTTGGTTGACACATTTGCATTTTTGTTTAATCACACACTCCTGTATTATGAGTCTGAATTTTTATGATCATGTTTATATTGGGAAAAACATTTTATCTTAATCGAGTACCCTGGATTGAAACCCAGGTTCAGAAAAGAACTTGTTCATGTGACTGTCCTCCGGTGGAGCCACAGAGCTGCAGGGGTGCAGCCAGAGAGGGGGAGGGAGCAGGAAACACACCTCTATATGTAATTCTGCCTCTGTCACTGGAGGAGGTTTGGAATTTGATTTTCCTGTCTTGTGGGAGCTTTTATCCCTCTTTGGTTTCTGGTTTTACTTTTCTATTCTTATTCTTATGATGGTGACTTTGTCCTTTACTCTTCCTGTGTGCTCTGTACAGTTTCACCAATAGGCAGCTTTGCTTCTTACAGCTTCCCCTTTTTGCTCAGATTTTACTGTCCTGTCTCTGTCCTTCTCTTAGTTGTGTGATCTGGGGGATGTAACCTTATCTCTGCTTTCATTTCCTTTCCAGGAGGGACAAAAAAAGCACAAGGAGATGTTAAGATCTATGTTTGGAAGTTATTACAAATATTAAATAGCTTAAATTAAAAATTAAATAAAATATGATTTAAAATTAAATTTTACAAATATCTATTAATGCTGAGAATGGTTCTTGGCTCTAGGAGGTTCTAGCTTTCCATGCCGTCAGCAATGAGCAACATTTATTGTTTACTGACAAAGACAAAGAACACCCCTTATGTAATTCTTTAACAGTTAAAATACAACTCTCTAGCAAGACCCTGATCTTGCACCTGTCTGTCACTCTCTAGCATCAGGTTGTAGATTGTGGTGTATGTGGTTTTGCTCATCACTACGGAGAATTTTTCATTTATTTGTCTCTCCCAGCCTTGACAATTCAAACCAAACAGGGCTCTTAGCTTCATGCTCCTAATTCTTTCCCCAGAGAATCAGAGATGCCCTTTTTCTGTGCATGGCCCAAGTCTGTGTAGTTGCTTGCTCTCCCTGACTTTCTGGAACACCTATTTTCCCACCCAGGGAGCACAGGATTCTTTTAAACTGCCATCTTACTGATTTCCCTGCATGCTTTTGGTATTTGTGCCTAGAGGGCATGTGTATCTTCAAGAAGGACACTTTTAAAATTGAATAAGGAAAGAATCTGAGTACAGAAAGGGGGTTCTTAGAGAATCTCCTTTGTCAAGGAACCAAGGCTGGGATCAGAACACCAGCACCTTGGGGTCAGGCTGGGCCTGGGGTACCACTGGCTTGCTGAAGTCAGGCCTGGAAGGAGACAGAGAAGGAGAAACAATAAGGGAGCCAGGGCTGAAGGGAGTGGGGGGATGAGGGCTGCAAGTGCAGCATGGGAAGAACAGAAGGGCAGGATGGCCGGGAAACAAAAGTGCACCTGTGCGCAGGTGTTGACATGTGGGGCGGATTGAACATGCGGATGACCTAGATCAGAATGTGAATGTGTCTTGGGGAGAGGGGGAGAAGGGTCGAATAAAAAGAAATTGAATTTCAATTTGTTTTTTCCATTTTGTATGAGCTTTCTCTTTGTTTTTGATTACTGACAAGAAACCAGCTTGTAGCAAATGATCTCATTTATGTGCAAAGTACATGCTTATGTATAGATGCAAAATAAATGAGAGGAAAAGAGAGCTCTATCAGCTGAGCATTTGGGGATGTCCATGGTAGGTTGTCACATGAAAAATTAAGTTGGAAAAGTAGAGGAGGGATGAAAAGGAGCATGGAGGTAGCTATAAGTTATTGGTGATTTTTCCACCCTTTGTGTTTCTTGTTCATTATATTATTTTGTTTTATATCATATATTATAAAATAAATATATATGTGTGAATATAAATATATAGTACACGTATGTATTATTTTGAATATATGAAACCACATATTAAACAGTGATGAAGGGAAGACAAGTGGGTTGCCATGTAACCTATTTTAGTAGAAACATCACAAGAGCCTCCCAGGTAATATACACAACGTGCATGTGTGTGTGTGAATGTGTGTGCGTGCACACAAGCTCACATGTTTGTATGAATGAGGAGGAAGGTGTGGAAGACTATTCACTTTGAATCCCCATTTGGGGAATTAGGGATGAGGCAGAACCTTGTTACTTTTAACTCTCCCACCCACGGCCGAATAAAACGCATTGATAGTGTAGGTAAAACAATGTTAGCCTTGAATCAAATTGTTTACTGATGATCTGTGAGTTCACTTTGATGGAAATTTAAATACTCTGTTGGATTTTAAGCTCTATGAGGACAGAAATAACATTGATCTTTATAGCTCATTCAGTCATTTGTCCATTCACATTAAGAGCCTGGTACATATGCCTAGCAGTAAAAATATTTTCTTCAGTGTCTTGCACAGCTGAAGGTTTTTCAAGAGTAAAAATATAGGATATTGTGAAAGTTCATCATAGAAGTGCCTAATCCGTTCTAGTGGATCAGGAAGGCTTCCTGGAAGAAGTGGTATTTATACTGCAAACTGAAGAATATAAATGAGTTACTTGGATGAGGTTGGGGAAGAGTCCATCTTCCGTTTATATGGAAGAGTATGTGCAAAGGCCCTGAAGCAGGGAGGAAGGATCATGGCAAAATTAAGAATGAGAGCAGTGTAGCTGTAGCCTAGAGAGTAAGAGGGCAATTAGTGGGGAGGAGGCCAGAAAGGGGTATAGGGACTGGATCATGCAGGCCTTACAGTTTGAAATAGAATTCTCCAACTTTCTATTTCAAAAATTTCAAACCTATACAAAAGTTGCAGGCATAGTAGAGTGGATCACCTAGATTTTGAAATTAACATTTTGCTATAGTTGCATGCTCTCTGTTTCTTTCACACACACACGATCACACACATGTATTTTTCTCTTTGCTGAACCATTTGAGAGTAAGTTACAGACAACATGTCATGTTAAGCGTATCATGTTTAAAAACATGTATCTTCCAAATTCAAAAATTATCTCTGATATGATCACAATATTATTATACACTCAAGGAAGTTAACACTGATAAACACTTTTACCTAATATATAGTCCATATTTAACCTCTAATTGTCCCAGTAATGTACTTTGCTAACTTTATTTTTTAAATTCAAGGTCCAGTCAAGAGTCAAGCACTGCATTTAGATATCTGTTTACATTTTCAGCCAAGGTTAGGCCAATTATTTTGTAAAACATCCATCAACTTAAATTTCTTCCTGATGAAATTCAAGTTGAACTGTTATAGCAAGAATATTACCAGGTGATAGGAGGATTGAGAACTACCTAAACTCAGGAACACTGGTATCAGTTTCCCTTATTGATGACTTTAAATTTGATCTTTTAATTAGGGAGATGTCCACCAGTTTTCTCCATTGTAAAGATAAAATTTTTCTTTTGTAAGAAATAAAGTAAGCTGGAGGATAGTCCCTTGAGGTTCTGTTAATATTCTGTCCCCCAACAATCTTTCACCCAGTAGCAACTTTGGTGTCTCTTGCCCAAGATGATAATGACTCTGCTGATTGCAAAATGGTGATTTTTCTAACTGTAGTTTTTCCTGCATTTGTCAGTAGTCTTCTGTGAAGAGCCTTCTTTTCTCCTGCACCCTTTTTAGTCAGTATCAGTATGGACTTGTGGATTTTTAAAATTTGAACTTAAGATTTAATATGTGCTTATTATCCATTTATAACATTAATTATTCTGAAGTTTCAATTTCTCCCTATTTGCCCAGCAGAAGCCCCTCTCTGGAAGGTTTTTGAGAAACCAATGGATTGAATGAATGAAATAATAGTATGAAAGTGATGAATCAATCTGTGTTTACCTTGCCTTTTTCTCCTGAAAACCTCTATGTCAATCTAACATGACTTTATTTTGATTTCTCTCTAGGTCTCATGGACTAATTGGCTCTTGTTCAGCAGGCCCCTAATAGACAAGTCATCCTGCCATATATCAAGACAAGGTTCGGTTTTAAAGCTGCTCTGAACATGATGAAAAGCAGCATCTCAATGTGACATTGTCAGGGGGCGACAAGCAGCTTCAGAATTTCCTGTTAATCACGCAGCAGCTTAGGGGAAGCTCTTTTCTGTCTAGGAGGGCTGCATGGAGAGCAGCCCCCACTGAAGGTGGAAGATGAGTGTCCCATTGGCACCCAAGAAATCATGTTACACTCAATTGCAGGACAACAGAAAGGGGGCGAAAAATAATAATGAGGGCCTCCTAAGTCTGGGTGATACTAATGCCAATCAAATCATGGTGGAGGGTAGTCCCTCTACCGATGAGTCTCAGACATGTGACCTGACAGATGAAATTGGAAATGCAAATTCACATGAGCTAGAAAGTAGTTCCTGTTTCCAAAAGGAATTTCACTCATTTCAGGACTTCAGGAAGGGATTGCAAGCTCGCCCCAGCAGCCTGAAGGATTTAAAGTTTTCTTCAACTGTTTGTGGGGAATTAAGTGAAGAGCACACAATGCAGAGGGGCCCAACTCTCCTGCAGCCCCCAAGGAGTGGCCAGGGACCAAGTCTTGCAGGCCAGAGGAATGTTACGGGTGAGGCCAGTCCAGACATTTTGACTCCAAGGGATGCCGAAATTCCCCGGCATGCCCCCAAGGATAAATTGGCAAAGACCCTTGACAATGAGGAACTAAGAAGGCATGCTTTGGAAAGGACGAGCAGCTCTGCTGGTGCAATGGACAAGTTCACAAAGGAGCGTGCTGGGAGCCTGACTCAGCCACTTCCACAGCCTTCCCCACTGGGCTCCCCTGAAGCCCTAGATGGTGTGCCTAAGGGTGGCGAGGGGCCACAGAAGACAGTGACAACCCATTCCCCAGGGACAGCTTTTACTCCAGCTGACATCACCTCACAGGGAAAGAATGTGTGTCATCCTAAACCATCTACCTCAGAAACCAAGGAGACCACCAGCTTAGAGGCCCAGATGGAGGGGGGACACGTACCAGGAGTTAGGGATGAGGGCACAGCTCGTTCTGCCCACTCAGAGTGTGTTCTGACTTCAGAATCCAAGGAAGTCCTGAGTAAGCCAGAAGCACAATTAGGTCAGGAAAAGGGAGAGCCCAAGCTGGAGCTGCAATTTGTCCAACCCTGGGCCATTCAGGAATTAACATCAACTGGGGCCGAGTGTCTGGGATGTCCCATGGAAGACAGTGTGTTACTCCAAGAGAGAAAGTGGCCCGGTGGGGAAGCACAGCAAGAAGTCACCACCAGGGCAGTCAGCAGTCTGCTTCACAGCAGTGTCCACCCGCTTGGCATGGCAAGAGGCAGGAGTGTGCAGGACAAGAGCTCCATCCACCTAGGTGAACAGGGGTCTCTTCAGACCACCCCCAGACCCAGCCCTGTTTCCTTGCGAGCTGCTGATAATCAGCCCCCTGGTAGAATTTCACCAACTGCAGCTAGGAAACTGAGTGAAAGTTCACCTAGCAGCATCTCACCAGGTGGTGGTCACCCAGCTCTTCTTCCTCAAGCCCCAGCTGACAGCAGGCCCTCAGATGCTGATGAGGGGAGAGGGGTGCTGAACAGTGGGAGCAGGGGCAGTGCTATGGTTTTTACTTCAGATCCTTGTGTTGAAGAGAGAAAAACTGGGGTCACCGAGCCCCTTGACCCTCAAAGCAGCAGCTCAGAAGCAAAGGAAAGCAAAGAGGTCACAACATCTATTGCTGAAACTAGGAACCTTCTAGAAAATGCAGTTAAGCCTGAAAGTTCCCCAGCAAGAACAGATTCTCTTCTCACTGTCCCAAACTCTCTCCACCCAGAGAAAACTGTGAATGTGACCCACCAGCAAACATTACCCAGTACCAGTCTTCAGGACCTGAGTACGCTGAGTGTGGATGCGGGCTCACCCTCGGCTGCCCCACCTCCCACTGACAGCTGGCGGTTGTCGAACACCTCCCCAAAAGTGCCTGACAAGAACCCCTGCCCCAGTGGGATCCCCAAGCCTGTCTCCACACATTCTGAGGATACGCCTTCCTCACAGGAGGGGCTGGAGAACCACCAGGTTGAAAGAACAGAAGAAAGGACAGAACCCAAGCCCATCATTTTGCCCAAGCCCAAGCACGTGAGGCCCAAGATCATCACCTACATCAGGAGGAGTCCACAGGCCCTCGGCCAGGTGGACGCTTCGCTGGTCCCAGTGGGGCTTCCATATGCCCCGCCCACATGTAACACACCTCTTGCCAAAGAGGAGAAGGTGGCAGGCAGTGACCTGAAGCCGACTGCCAGCCTCTACGAGAAGTTCAAGCCAGACTTGCAGAAGCCAAGGGTCTTCAGCCCTGGGTTGATGGTATCTGGGATCAAACCCCCAGGACACCATTTCAGTCAAATTAGTGAAAAGTTTCTACAGGAGGTAAGAGAATGTCATTGTGATACAATCTATAAGTTGAGCACCCTAAACTTTGTCATGTATTTTCCATTAATTGTGAAAACAGAATATTCTCCATTGGGAAATCTTTTGCTGGATTCACTTGTACAAAAATGAATGTTTTTAACAGAGGAGATCGTAGACAAATGGATATTTTTGACTGGAAAAGTTTGATAATCATAATGAGATGGATCTACCATTTGAGGAAGCTCATTTAAATTCCACGCAATATAATACACATGAAGTTAGACAAGCATGCATTTAAATTGGCTTCCATGTTTAAATAAGTGAGCATAATTCTTCTATAAGCCAAATTAGTGGAAAAAGAAATCAGAAATAAATACATTGTTCAAATTGGTCAGACTTCATCCTCTGAGGGGGGTATTTCCCTTTTGGGACAATCACATATTCACATATGTGAAGAACACAGTGAGTAGAAAATAATGTGTTAGACGTGGGTTCTTGTTTTTTCTTTTGATCTTGTTTTTAATCCTCACCCAAGGATATGTTTATTGATTTTTAGAGAGAAGAAGGGAGAGAGACAGAGAGAGAGAGAAACATCCATGTGAGAGAGAAACATTGGTGCTCTGCTTCTCGCATGCGCCCCAACCAGGGTCTGAGCCTGCAACCTAGGCATGTGCCCTGACCAGGAATCGAACCTGTGACCTTCGGTGTAAGAGATGACGTTCCAACTAACTGAACCACACCAGCCAGGGCTGGTGTTATTTTTAAGTCAAAATAACAATTACGACTAACATTTAGTAGAACACCTACTATGCCTTGGGCCCATGTAACATATTTAACCTTTGTCAGTCTTCAGCAGTCCTTACTATAATTCTCTGGAGACTGGGTTGCTGTTTTTATCACTTTATAAATGAAGACACAGACATGGAGAAGCCTGAGTAACTCACCTAGGTCCACAGAATAAGGGCGGCACTGTGATGCTCCCCTGGGATACTCCCCTGAGACGCTCCCTTGCTGTTTCCTCATGGTGCGGCCCCTGTGAGTAACTGGGTGTTATGGTGAATGATCCTCCCAGAGCTCATGAAGAAGATTGGTCTTCTGAAGCAATCTCCTGCCAGGCAGACTGATCAATTAAAAGGAAAGCTGGCTCAGGTCACTCCTCTCCCTAACACCCTTCAGGTCTTCTGAAGCCACTGAGTACAAAGGCTGGAGCCAGTAGGATCGCTCATTACCTCCTTGACTGCCTCTCCTTCCTCCACCCTTCCTCTCTCCTCTGCTGCCTCAGGCCTTTTGCACTTCCCTCTACTTGGAATGTTCTTCCCAGGTACCTGAATGACTATCTCCTTCACTTTAGGTCTCTTCAAATGTCGCTTCATTGGAAAGGCTGCCTTTCCTCTGAGACCCCTTTCTCTAGTTTCTTTCTTCTTAGAACTTATCTCCCCTGACATACATAACTTTTTTGTTTTTGCTGCATTAACTAGAATGTGAAGTCTATGGGAGTAGGGACTTTTTCTGTCTCTTATTCCTCACTGTGATCCCAGTGTTCATAACAGTGCTTGGCATAAATACATGCTCAAAAAACGTTGAATGATAACTGAATTATGAACTCACAGATCCAAACAGAAGTCAACCAAAGCTCCCTAGAGATAGAATGATCGACTCCCAAGTTGGACTCAAACTTGATTGACTGTATGAACAGTTTTACAGACTGTATTGATCATAGCAGAAGGTGTCATCTCTGGCACAGAGCAAGCAGTCGATCCATTCTCAGAAGATCTTGACCAAGGCTGGCACTGACAAGGTGTCCAGCAAGCTGCCCATCCACCTGCCATGGTGCCTGCCGTCAGCACCAAATCACAGTGCTGGCTCCCTGTCTTCTGACTCTGCACCTGGAGAGGCTCACCCCTCACATCTCTAGAGAGAGGATGCTGACCTGAGAGTTCAGGGGTCCAGTCTCCTTGTTAGGGACTCAACTCCCTGTGCAGGCTCTATGGTGTCCTATTCTAAGTGCAGTGAGAGCATGCCCTGGCCAGAGGACCTTAGAGTCTGTCCCTAGGCAGTGCCATCTCACTAACAATGGACAGTTTGCCGCTTTGGTTTATAGGTCAATCTCTTAGCTGGGATAATGTGAGTCTTTCTCAAATTTCCAAAGACATATCCCCCTGGGCCTCTGAGGCTCAGGGTCAGGCTGTGACCCTGGACTCTTCTCTAAGGCCCCTGAGAGGCAGCCACATGACCCTCCCCAGGGCTTTGGATACCAGAGCTGGCTAAATGAATGAACCTCTTTCTTCTCAAAGTGTCACTGCAGAAGTAACCAACTTGTGCAAGATAGGGCCCCCAAATCTGGCATGGTGGAGGATCTCTTTGACAAGCACACCCTTGTAAGATAGTGATAGGGAGAGCCAAGCCTTAGGCTGGCTTCCTTGTAGCCACTGGGTGACTTCTCTGGTCACCAAGGCAGCTCATACATATGGGGGTACCCTAGCCTTTTCTATTCGTTGTACCAAGACGTCCGATTGAGTTCTTTCATTGATTCCATTTCTCCAAATAAAGTAATTTGATGTATTTTCTCCCCAGCCCCCAAAGAAAAGATCCCCTAGATTTTTCTCTACAGAAAATGAAACACATACACACACAAAAAAACATTCATCAGAAACTTTATTTGGAGATGTTGGCAAAAACTTACTGTCTGCAATTCTTCCTCTGTGATCCTTCCTAATTTTTCTTTTGTGAATTTCTTTCCTGTATTGCTTCAGCTCCTTCTATAAAATATAGAATAATTTCTATAGTATATGCACATTTCCCCCAAAATATTTTCTATACTCAATCTTCGAGAAACTACCCCAAGTGTTAAGGAAATGGGGCAGCAGTGGTATTTGTGTGGCTTTAGTAGTTCAGAGGGGTTTAGAGAGACCCCGTTGCTGTGGGGACAGCAGTCCTGCCCTGTGCCAGCCACTCTACCTGGGGACGGTTCTCTGCCACAATCAGAACCTCTAAGACTCAGGTCCTGTTCTCAGGCTACAAGTTAGAGCAGAGAAGCCCAGGTGTTATGATGGACTAATTTCTGTGATAATCTTCTTTAATGAGAAGTGGGGCTTAAGCTGGCCCATAGCCTTTGGTCCTATTTCTGTGACTTGCTATATAGCTCAGGAAGTCCCAGTCCAATGGTCAGGCTCGACGCGGGGAGATCTGAGGGCTGCCTCCTGCCATTGTGCCCCCAGCTTACCACAGGGTGCCTGAGCCATTCCCCAGGACAGGAAAATTTTTCTGATCAGTTGCCACAGAAATATTTTTCAATTGTAGAAGTTATATATCATTTTAATAAAAAGGGAAACTCTTACAATAAAAGCCCAAACCAGCCTCAGATCTGCCATCATTATTGCCAGATCACTGCCTGTTAGCGTGAGTAGAGATGGGGAGTCAAGAGTGGATGCTCCTCTGAGAGAGGGGAGCAACACAGACATTAGAGCTCCAAGAAGTGGCCTTGAAGACAGTCTTGGGTCCAGTCATGCCAGGGCAATAAAACCTGCTTACTCTTTTTGCTCCTTTCTGCTTTCAGCTCTCCTGAGGTCTCAGGGACACTCTCTCCTACTGATGCCTTGGGGGAAGTCTTTAAATTTTGGTGTAGAGAGGTGGGAAGAAAGGAGCAGGGGTGCGAGGACAGAGGTCAGGTAATGTGTTTACAATATATACATATGTGCTTTGGACTGCTCTCCTTTCCTGCTCCTTGGTACCACCTCATCTCTGAAGAACACTGTTTTTGCAGGGTTTTCCAAAGAAACACAACATGCATATAGGTATGTGTATGCATGTATGTATCTGTCTGCCTGTCTATCTATCTATCAAGATTTTAAGGGATTGGCTCATGCAGTTGTCAAGTCTGGCATGTCTAAAATCTGCAGGTTGGGCCGCCAGGCTGGAGCTCTAAGGAAGAGTTGATGCTGCAGTTCAAGTCCAAAAGCTGTCTGCTGGTAGAGTTCCCTCCTCTTTAAGGGAGGTCAGACTTTTTTCCAAGGCCTTCAACTGACTGGATGAGGCCCACCTACATTATGGAGGACAATCTGCTTTATTTAAGACCTCTTGGTTTATATGTTGATCTCATAAAAAAAATACCTTCACAGAAATATCTAGAATAATCTTTGACCAAATATCTGGGTAAAGTGGCCCAACTTAGTTGACCCAATTAGCCATCACAAGTCCTCTCCCTGCAGCTGTCCCAATGGCTTCTCAGTGAAGCCCCCACACTTACCCCACATCTTCCCAGTCCATGATCCCTTGAAAAACAGGATGGGGCAAATCAAAGAGGGACAACCCAGTAAGAACTGATGTGTTCGTGTGCTGTTTGAGTTTAGGAGTTTGTTTGAAATCATGAGCATCCTTTAGTTTGCTTTCAGAATTGTTTCTCTAAAAATACTCCAGTGGAGCTTTGCAGTGGCAGTGTAGTAGCCAATGAGGTTTATCCAAGATTATTGCTAATTGGAAAAAAATTCTCCATTAGAGAAGGAGGAAAAATACCATTTGGGTTGGATTGCTATGTGTTTATGGCTGTGCAGTGATCCCTATTGTATTCTGTCAATGAAGATGAAAGGAAAGAGTGTGAAGCTGTTTGTAGATTCCCTTGTTTTATTAAAAATGCACGGATTAGGCATCTGAGGCATACTTTTCACCTCTGTAAAGAATTTGTTTTCTTACTGGAGACAAATTACCCAACAAAATGACAGGCATTGAAGTTACTGAAATCGTGATGATCATTTTCCAGTGACAGACACCATGGTGGGTTTTGATCCCTGAAAACTATCCATTTTCAAAGAACTGAGTAATTACTGAGCTCAGCATATTACAGTCCTAAAACCTGACAGGTGTAGTTAGAAATGATTATAATGTTCTCATGTGAGCACCTGCTAAACACAATGTACAATGGCACCAAAAATTTAGAAACAAAAATTTAAAAATAGAGTAAATATGAGTATAATATAAAAGCCAAAGATTGATAGTAAGAGAATAAGTAGAAAATGGTAAAATTTTTTATCAGAGTGCAAATGTAGAATGTTCTTTCACAGGAATGTAATTTGCTCTGGCCTGAGTTCAATCTGTCTACAATAGCAATCATACATATTTTACAATGTGATTATGATAAAACTTTAAAGGCCTAATCTTTTGTTTCAATAATGTCAATTTAAGGAGAACTTTGTATCTATTTCAGCATTAAAAGAGTATCAAATTAAGGATTTATCTCTTCCAACTACTTGGATCAAAGCTTCATAGACCCTGTTAAAAAATGTTAAACGCTTGTGATTCCTGAATATGTATGACACATAAAATGTATTGTAATTTAGAGCAGAATTAATTAACAAATGTTATTTTTTATGCATAGCCTCTGGCGCTATTTTTTTCAACTGAGAGGAACTAGATTATTGAGTTGTCTTATTTTTTCATTTTTAGTATGAAGCAGCACTGGTAACATGAGCAGGCTTTGTGAGCCCAGACTTGCATATACGAAAGGAAGCTGTAAGTCGTATTCTAGTCTAAACTGTCAGCTATGGGAAAAGTCACAGGAATGTTGCGTTATTAAATTTAGGAGACAATAGAATCATGATTGTTTTATTTGTTGAATACTTACTGATGTCAGCTCTGTGTAGACACAATTCTGGGCACTGTGATTGAGCAGCCAACAAGCCTCTGCCCTAGACCTTCCTCTCTGGTGAAACTTTCTCAGACCTTCCTGGCAGTGCCCCCTTAATAGGGAAGACAATCAGAGGAGGTAAATCGCTCTCTTATTTTTAATGATGTAAATAGATTACAGAGATCTGAAAACACATACTTTCCTCTACCTTCTCTGCTCTTTCAAATAGCCTTTTCTCCCTCATTAATAGTGCATATTTTATTTTCTAAGTAGCCTAGAAAAAGACAACATAAATTGATAAAGTTCATTTACTTACTATAAGACTATGTTAGCCTAAAAACTGTGCCTTTTCTCCTTAGGAATAATGAAACTCATAGTCCTATAAACAGTTGCAAATTTTTTCCTTGCTTCATGGACATTGTTTATTTATAGATTGGCTACTTGCACAAATTCCAATGATTTTGTAGCAATCAAATTAAAAAATCTTGCCAAGTGAGTTGTAGATTTGTAGACTATTAGAACTAGAGGAGACCTGAAACGTCATCCAGGCCTGTTGTCAACTCAGAGATGAAGACACTGGGGCCCCAAGAAGGTAAGTGATGAGGGATGGAGCAACTCAGAGAGCTTCCAAGGGGTGGTCATCACTGGAGTCTTGGGCTTATCTGAGCGGGTACAGTTCTCATCCTGGGATGTGCGGTTCTCTGATTGAGCTTCCACTCATTTGTCATAGGTTACAGAACGCCCTGGAAAAGAAGAATTTTGCTCTCCTCCCTATGCGCACTACGAAGTTCCTCCCACTTTCTACCGCTCGGCCATGCTCCTTAAGCCCCAGTTGGGATTGGGCGCGATGTCCCGTTTACCGTCAGCAAAGAGCAGGATCCTTATCGCGAGCCAGAGGTCTTCAGCAAGCACCATCCACCCGCCAGGACCCATAGCAACAGCTGCTGGTCTCTACAATTCCGATCCCGCAGGTAACGGATCCAACATGACTGCTTTTTCCTGCTGCATTTTGAAATGGTGTAAAATGTGGCAACTGTCCAAATATGAGTGCCTTTTGTCCTTAAGAGAAGCCTTTTTCTGTTCTTCCGTCTGACATTTATCAAGACTCATCTATCTGCACTGTCACCCTTCTTGCCACCTTTAAAATGATGGCCTTTGTAACCACCTGCTCACTTCTCGTAGTTCCTCCTTCCTCTAGTACATCCCGTAGACCAGGATTCAGAAACACTTACCTGTAAAGGGCCAGGTGGTCAGTACTGTAGGCTTTCTGGGCCATGATGGTCTGTGTTGTAACTGCTTAGCATGGAAGCAACCACAGGCAAGACTTTGAGTGCCTGGTGCAGCCGTGTGCAGGTACAGCCTCAGTGGGCTGGACGTGCCCATGGGTGGCGGTGTCAGGGAGCTCTTCCTATAGGACAGCACTGACCATATCACTCTCTTTTACCTGCTCACAAATCTGGAACACAGAATGGCCCTGCCACCTTTCCTGGCCCTGTCACTCTGCTCTGCAGTGGCTGGCCAGTGTCACCTCCTGATGTTCTCTGCACTTCATTTTTCTCTTCATGCTTCTGTTTGTGTGGCTTCCTCTAGGTTTGATGTATTATTTTATTATAGAAATAACACATACCCATTTAAAATTTTTTCCAATATAGAAAAATAGGAAGAAGAAAGTAATACTACTTATATTTTAGCACCCATCCCGAGTTAATATTATGGACATTTTTATTTCAGTATGGTGTGTTTTGTTTTTTTTTTTTCTATGCATTTTTCAGTAGCTAAAATAACACTAATGTGAACTTTGTTTTTTTCCTATGAGTATCATATTGTGGGCATTTTCTATGCCATCAATGTTTCAGAAATATTTAATGGTAGCATAATATTGTTTGTTTATTTATTCAACAAATTTTGGTACTTATTTTGTGCCAAAAGTTGTAAATTGAGGACAGCAGCAGTGAACAAAACAGAGCACTCCTGCCTTTATGCAGCTTATGGACTAAAGCAGGAAATAGGCACTAAAATAAATACACAATTACAAAGTGTGATAAATGTCACCAAAGCAGGGAAAATAGTGCTTGAGAAATTGCAACCTGAAGAGTGCTGTGGATGGGACACAGGTGCGTCGCTGGCAGCGAGTGTCTCTGGTGTGGGAAAAATGGGCAACTGGGGAAGAGTCACAGAACTGATGTAACCATCGTCCCATTGCTGGCACTTGGGTTCTGCTTACTCTGTACTATTTTCCATAACTTTGCCATTTGAATCTTTGTGCATATTTATCTTCTTTCATGTTTTTTTTTAGGATAGATTATTTCAAGTGTAATTATTGGATAAAGCAGATCCAAACTTTTTACAGGCTAATTTTTTAGAAAACATGTAACAGTTATTTTCCTAGGAGTGTTTCTTCAACTTGCTCTTCTTGTCATACCTTTGCCAGTATTAAATATTAGTTTTATTACCACTACTATTATTGTTATTGCATTTCTTTTATTTCATTAGTGGAAGGGAACTTCATCTGTTTGCCATTATATTAGTTTGTGAATTGTAATTTACTGAGGTAATTATTGATGGTCTTAATGATTTGTTTTTTTGACAAGCACTTCTCTAAAAGATCAAATTATTTTTTGATGATTCCCATGATATATGTATATTGTAATGGACTTATTTGTTGTTATCTGAGCTGCTACAAGGTAATTATGTATTCTGTCACTCATTTAACAATTACTGCTGAGGGACTTTCACATGTCAGCACTGCTGTAGATGGGGAAGGGAAATAAAGCAGCAACAACAGACAAAAATCCTTGTCTCTGAGGAGCTGAAATTGTAGAATGGGGGCAGACTGTTTTATAAGTAAGTAAACAAACTGCATGGTGTATTGGGATAAATAACTAGTATTGAAGAAAATGAAACATTAGAGAAGGGAGAATAAGAGGTTTGGGACATGAAGGAGGAAGATTATAATTTTAAATAGGGTGGTCAGAAAAAACCTCCCTGAAAAGATGGCTCCAAAGGAGGTGAAGGAGGGAACCTTGTGGGCATCCTGGTGGAGCATTCCAGGCAGAGGGAGGAGCCAGTGCAAAGGCCCTGAAGTGGCAAGAAGGCCGGGGAAGCTGGAGCAGAGCAAGTCAGCAGGAGAATGGTAGGGGGTGCGAACAGAGTGGTGACTGGCGCTGGGAGAGTTGCATAAGGCCTAAGAGCCATCATAAGGATTTGATTCTTACTCTGAGTAAGAAAACTAGTGGAGGATTTGAAACTGGGCAGTGTGATCTGACTTTTGTGTAAACAGGATCTCTCTGAGTCCCATGTTAAGAGCACACTCTAAGGGGACACAGGCAGAAGCAGGGCGAACAGGTGATGCAGTGACTTGGACAGTGATGAGAGACAGTGAGGTCAGGCACAAAGGGGCTCCTGACTGACCCGACACGAGCTGGGAGAGAAAAAGAGCAATGAGCGGCGACTGCAGGGGTTGGGACCTGAGCAAGTAGGAGGATGGGGCTGCCATGTAGAGAGGGAGAAGCCACTATGCAGGGGCATAGGAGCTAATTTAGGGCATGTGAAGGTTGAAATGCCTTCAGTTATCCTATGGAATAAAACACTGGATCTAAGAGACGAGGGTCGGGAAGAAAGGACCCAGCTGGAGACACGACAGTGTTAGTCGTCAGCAGATGGGCCCTGTTTAAAGCCATCATGCCCCTTCTCTGGTGGCTGTTGCTATCCAGCACCATTTCACCTTCCCCTTCATCAGTGAGTCATAAACTTGATGTAAAATTGGATTATGTACTTTGGAAATAGCATGGTATAACAAATGTTAATAGTTTTACTTTATGTACATAATTTGGGAAAAATTAAAATTACTAAATATAAACTTAGTTGAGATTCATCTTGTTAAAGTCAAGTTTCAAGTGAAGCAAGGTCTCTTAGAGGACAGCACTTGCACGCTCCCAGGAGATGGGCAGCCCCTTCTGAGGCTGCCTTACTTGTGCTCTCACATTTGTGGTGAGGCTGACACTTCTGCAAAGTTCAGTTCAGACCTCACAAGGACAGAGTAGGGACTCCCCCAGCCCTACTCCTTCAGGACCTTAACCCTTTTTCTTGGGCTTCTAGGTGTCTTCACTGAGAGAAAGGTGTATGTTCACATAGGTAATCATTGGCGACCCAGCAAAGCCTGTGACAACGACAGGTGTCACTCGTATAGGACGCTGAAGATGTGAAATCCTTTCTTAGTGCTGCTGGACGGGACTGCCTGGCAGGGGCTCTGGACAGAAAATGAGAAGTTCTCGCTCCAGACAGTGGGAAGCTCTAGATGGTGATGATGGCTCAGCTCTGATTGGCTCTTGGGTACCAGAGCCATGCCCATGGCCCTTTGCTTGCCCTGGTCGCTTGCTAGAGTCCTCAAGCTTCCAAGACCTGCTCTGGCAGTATTCCTCACTTATATTTTTTTTTGCAGAAATCCTTCCATTTTTCTTCATGTTTTCCTCAGATATATCCCCTTTCTTCCCAAACACTATTTCAATGACTCCTAAAGAGGATGCCTTCAGCTGCAGTGGGGACAGATCAGTAGAGCCCACAGGGCAGGGGCACACCCTGAGGAATCCTTGACTGGAGCAGTGGGGTAAGTCATGGCAGGAGACAGGAGTGTCCATGGCCCTGTTTCTCACCACACAACTTTAGGGAGGCAGAGCTGACTGACAAGCAAACATCTTTACAATAATCATTCTGTAAGGTTGAGTGTCAAGAGACTCTAAGATATAAGCAGCCCTATAGCTGCCAACTTTGTCTGGAGAGAAATAGGTTAAAACAAGAGTCTGTGCTTAACACACAACCTCAGGCCAAGACACCTCTGGAGCAAACAATGCCTGCCTCTTGTGAACCCTGCTCTGGCCTCTTGCATGGACCTCATGCAGATAGCTAGATGGGGAGAAAGCTAGATGGGGAGAACTTACCTTACAGAATCAAAATCCCCATCTCTTCTTGCCCCCTCCCCTCCTCACTAACACACACCAGGCCCCAGTGGCAGTGGGAACCTGTGTCCCCAGGAAATACAAAACCTGTTTTCTTCTGTGTTTATCTCCCTTCTTTTATTACCATTGTACCATTTTTACCATTATGCTTCTTATTTTTCATATTATCATAAAATTTTATGGAACGATTTCTACCTGTTCTGCTCTAAGATGATATGCAGAGACTGGGTCTCTCCCTTTAGCAACCCTGGGCTCCAGAAGGGCTAGTTTCAGCACAGTAATTTTAAAAAGCTCATTTCAGCTACCAAGAGGATACTAAGGAGTCTAGTCTATACCTGCTGCTTATAAAGCAAAGATGGGAAGCAGCAGCTAAAGTAGAAGTGGGGAGCCTAGGGGAACCTGGTGGCCAGAAAGCCCAGAGAAGCAAGGAGTGGTCAGCCATCTGGAGTGCTTCTGAGGAACTGGGTAGTTTGAGGACAGAGACAGGATCAGTGAATTTGACAACATGGAAATCATTGGTTATCTTCGTAAGAACAATTCAATGGAGTGATGGGTCCAGAATCCTGATTAGCCAGATAGACAAAAAGAAGCTGACACGGAAATGTAGCCAGCTCAAGCTTATGGGACAGAGGCAAGTAGCAGAAATGCTAGATGAGACTTACAGAATGAGAGTGACTTTGTTATACTCAGGGTTACGGGGAAACACTTGACATAGTTTGGAGTGAGTATACTAATGGAATTTCTTTGACAGCAGCCTTTCTAATGAATATGACCTGAACAGAGACAGCACTGTTAGCTGTCCTCAGTCGTGTCATGGGTTTCAAAAATCGACTAACTTTTCAGGTGGTAATTGACAGTTTTATCTTATTGCTGTCAATATGTGAAATATTAGCTGGGGTCATTGTCTCAGGTCTATTTTCTTGGCTTTTAGGAAATCAAAACAGCTGAAGAGGGAAGGCCTAGCTAGGGAAGGAACATGAAAATGGTCCAGACAAGTGAACAAGGTACCTGTATGG